ACATTTTTATTTGAATGATATGACAGAACTGTCACAGGAGTGTTACCTGCTATAAAGAAAGCCTAAGAATTATTACCTTTATTAGACCAGTGACACTGAGCTTTAGCCATACATTTCTAACTTCTGTCCCTCTACGGAGACAATTTTCTTTTCTTAAATAAACTGTCATGCTAGTGTTAATATATTGTTGGCTCTCTCATGCTCTGAGAATACTGCTGATATAAAACATGTATATGTTAGATTGGTAATAGTATCTTTAGTGTAGCTGACTAGAACAAATGTGTTTCCCTCATGGCTGTGCTAATGTGATAAAAGAAAATTGGCTGTTCATCAGCTTTTGGCTGGGTAAAGACAGTAGAGATGGAACCACATTCTTTTTTATGCATTAATACCACCGAGAACTTTTCACTAGTTATATTTCATGTGCCTGCATGTTGCGCAAAGATGTTGTAAAACATGAGATAATGCTACAAATAACAAAGTAGAAAAGCCTGTATCTTTTATAATGATAACAGTCAAACACCAAATGACAGTAACAGGCTGTAAAAAATGGGATGCAAAAAAAAGGCAGCTCTACTACACAGCAGAGAGAAAGGGAGTATGTCCAGGCCCACGAGGAGTTGCTCATGAGGAGCTGGTGTATGATTTTAGGTCTATTAAAATTTTGTTTTAAAATTAAAGTGAAATGCAAGACTGAGTCAACAAATTAAGAAAAAAACATGGTTTAAATGAAAGCAGGTTGGTTAGAATGGGGAAATACCATACTGGGTAACTTTTTGAAGAATCAATATTAACAAATAATTATAATGTTAACTTCTAGGTTTTTTGGGGGGGGAGGGGTTGAAAGGGATTCTTAAGGCAACGTTCCATAGAATGATTTAAAGATGTCTGAGAATAAATGTTTATCTTCATCAATTATTGCAAGCCCTTTATAGCAAAAAAGCATTAAAAATATATTTTACATTTTAGACCAGTTTTAATTTCACATTAAAATCGTGTATAAGGTACATGATTTCCCATATATATCCTGCCTCCGCATACCTGCAGCATTCCCCACTACCCAAATCCTGCACCAGAGTGGTACATTTGTTATAACTGATGAACCTACAGTGATTCGTCATTATTACTCAAAGCCCATAGTAGAATAGCATTTTGAATACTATGCCTTCATATATTTTTTATTAAAATGTTAGCAGCCAACTTTTCAATTGTATAACATTAAATCTCAATCTGCCTCTATTCCCTTCTCTCTCAACCCCTCCCCTCTCCAGTCTTT